CCACCTTGCAGATCTTCCAAAAAAAAAACCACAAACCAGAGGAGCTGAGAACAGAATTACAGTGAAATTCTTCCCGCAGGGAAGGGCTAAAAGTGACTCAGGCAAATGCACGTAAGGAAGGGACTTGCACATCCTCCTTCGGTCCTCCTGCCCCACAACCCTTCAATACAAATCATCACTAAAACCAATTTTAAACCAGCATAATACAAGTGCAGAGACAGAAAAAAGGCTCTGTTAGTCTATCAAAATCCCTTTGAGGATTTTTTTTCGTATCTCAAAATACAAGAAATAAGCTGAAAAGACAAGGCCAAGACTCTTCATTTCTCTCATTTAACAGGTCAGACGACGTGGCCTCCCCGAGACTTGGAAACCAAGGTAATGCCTCTGCACTGCCTGTGTACAAAATCCAGACAACTTTCAAGCTGACAGACATTTAAGTGAAGGTCAGTTGTGTATTTCAGCTCACAATAGCACCTGTTCAGCATCAAATCCTAACTAACATTAAAAGTTAGGTGGCTATGATGAATTAATCTCCCCCTTCACCCCCCAGATGAAAAAAGTATTCCAAGTCAGAGAGACATCTAGAAGGTGAGACACATATAAAAACCCCTAATAAACCTTTAATTCGAGTTTGTTTTGGTTTTTTTGTTTGTTTTTACAGGACAGGGTGACAAATTACAACAAACATCTGATTTTTCTCAAATGTTCAGGTATTATACACATTCCCATCTGTCTTGCAGGAAGGGATATTGGTCAACTTAACAGTTTAAGGTAAAATAAGCTGCATAATAGTACATATTACAATAATAAAATGTACAGTGTTTACAAGAAATATATTTTAGAAGCAAGATAGATGCATTTGCATCAAGGCGACCTTTTAAAATGCCACAACTATTTTTACATTCAGTCTTGCAACAGGTCACAAGATGGGGTCACTAAGGTCAGGTTAACAAATCACTATGATGCACATCAAATACAACAAAATTAGTTTATATACATATATATAATACATATACATGTATATTATACATATACATATATGTATATAGTAAAACTCATCAAAATCTACCAGACCTGGCACAATCTACTTACCCATCAAAAATATGTACTTGTCCTTGGTAAGTAGAATTCTGCATGGCTGATTATATATTATATATACTCATTCATTAGCATCTGAGACATAAAACTGAGGATTTAAAATTTTTCGGTTAACAAACTCTCCAATAATAAACATGGTGCCCACAAAAGCACAAAGGTAAGGCACAGTAGGATTTTTCTGTTGCAGAATAGTGTGCATCATGTTTACTTAACCATAAGAAAAAACGTGCATTATTTGTGCAAGTTCATGCTGCAAATCCATCATATCTACAAAGTAAAGTGAGTTTCAGTAAAATTTGTGGGACTGGTGTGCTTCCAGTCTCGCCTCCTACAGGGTATTCAGCTGGATAATTAGATAAAATTGTTGTAGGAGTGGGGATTAGTAAAGCCAATAATCTTAGATTTGCAACTAAGCTTCTCAGCAACAATTTTGTACTTCTAAGTAAGTGTTAGTAAATTTACAAGCTTGGAATCACAAGATTTACTGTCAGTTGTACTTGTAGTTCGCATCAGCCAAAATTGTTGCAAGGAAGTATGTACCTTTTAAAATTTTAACAGGTAATGCGTTCATTAAAAGACATTATAATGTATTGGGAAAGTCACTTAATCCCAGTGGTTATTTTGTCACAGCCCTGGCAATTGTAATAATAAATACAGCTTTTCACAAAATATTTTTTCCAGTATCTGCCAATTGCTTCTTTATTGCTCACAAATTTGAATTCATTACAATTGGTATCAGACCTTTCACATAAAATCATAGTCAGGTATTTTAATATAAAACCTATAAAAGATATTTAACCTGTATCTAACACTTTTAAGGTATTTGGCCTCTTGTCATGGTACAGCCAAAACCATATAAAACGTTAGGTTTTGAATAAAACAGGAAGCTTATTCACTGCTTCAATGCAGACATCCTCACAGAACACAACCATTTTTGCCACCACCAGCATTTACATACAAAACCTACTACATCCGCATTCAGTTCGTTTTCCCTCACACTTATATGCAACCACTAATGCCAGATTAACTTTCCCCATACCCTAGCTGCAGAAAAAGATTCTTATACAGCAACAAAAAACTAATATTGACTGAAAAAGAAATTTTTTTTTTTTAACTTATTCACCATCAGGAACTGTAGGTTGTTTGTTACAAAATACCCACAAGATTATTTCACAGGAAACTATGGAAATACAGGAAGTCTTCTTTTCTCCATGCTTTTGTATTATCAAAAACATTTCTTGGTGCAAAAATACAGTCACCACATCCGCAAATGTATACTGAATTCGGTATTCGTCATGCAAAACTTAAAATGCATTGGTTTACTATAGCCCCAGAAAACTTCCTGAAGCAATTTTTTTTTTCCTTTTTCTTTTTTGTCAGCTCAGTATTACTGCCTCATTGCTAAGTCCCTTTGGAAACAAGATTTCTGGAACGTTCAAACTTTTATTTAATTAAAGTATTACATACAAAAAGCACTAAAAAAGGAAGACGGCAGCCAAACAGGAAAATTCCTGTTGCAAGTAACAGTCCTAGCAGTTGTAGAAAGTCTTCTCAGGAGCTTCCCTGAGAATTAGTTGTGCCTGTCCGAAGACGCAGATGTGACATAGAGTTCATGTGTTTGTTTGATGGCTTCAGTGGAGTGTTACAAGTAAGAGCCTGGGGAAAACGATGATGATACCGATCTAGTCGCAGGTATTTTACCGTTACCAGCTTTCCTATGAGGCAAAGAAATAGGAAAATAGAAACCTTCTAGTTCAGTATTGTGACATTTTGCTTGAGGACATAATACACATCATTATACTGGAATTAGTTTACCAGGTGATGATTACTAAAAAGATCCAGTTTGTTACAGCTCAATACTTTAGATATAAAACTTTACACCATTTAAAAGAACTCCAACTCATTTCTATCCATGTTTTGTTATAAACCCTCATTCCTTACCGTCAAACCAAGAGCCATGTAATGCCTTGAAAGCCTTTCCAGCATACTCTGGAGAGAGACACTTGACATATACACAACCCTGCATTGAGAGAGAAAGGGGTTTGGTTGGTTGTTTTGGTTTGTGGGTGTTTGTTTTTTTTTTTTCCTTTTTTTTTTCCCCTCCCTAAGTCCAACAGACAAAGAAAAACAAAGCCTTAAGATGCTACCGGAAAGACACTCACCTCACGTGAATTTTTGTCAACAGCAATATGAACAATTCCATCGTTATCACTGCATTTCTCCAAGATGGCTTCTTGAATTGCTAGATGCCAGTGATCACCTATTTCCCTATGCAAACAATGAAAGATTTAATTAAGTACATAATTTTTTAAACATTCACAATAATCTCATCCTTCCCCACTGAGTTTGGTCTCTCTGTAACTTGACATCATTTTCTGTTAAATGACTTTGGGGCAGATTTAGTACTTTAGGTATTGAATATTTAGTAAATTGGGTCCTACAGTCCACTTTAGAAAATTCAACACTAAGAGTAAAAAGAAATAATCTGTATTTGGGGGGATTTGTCCTCCCCTTCCAGCAGCCTGCCATCACCTTCCTGTTTGAAACTGCAAGCAGTTATAAACTCTTCTTCCCAGACCTGCTCAGAGGGGCTGGCCGTTGTTCCAAGGAGAAGGTTGCTCCCAGGCTGTACCTAGTGCTGTGGAAGAAGAGCAGGGGAGGACAATAGCGTAAAGGCCTCTGCCCCTTGGCTGTATCACCTCTACCAGCAGTCACAGAAGCAACATTACATGTCAGGCTTGAGCAGGCTGAAGGAGTTCTTTAGCTATTCAGACACTGTTTGTCACTGAAATACCTATTCACTAGCCCGAAGCAAGCATCAAATTGCATTCGTCCCATCGGGTACTGATAGAACATGCCAATCTAGATCCAGAAATAGAAGTTATTAAAATCAGATTCTAATTGTGGAGGCTTTTCACAAAAAAATATTTTATTGTCAAGACTGATCAATCTTTAGGTACATCATTAGAGATGACAGAAGTCTATGTATTTTTGTGAAGGTACTGCAGGAACTATCTGGTCCTAATAAAAAAAAAATCTAAGCAGAGGGAAAACAATTTCAATACCCTTAATACACCTTTAAGCCTGTCTGAATAGTCTTTATGCAAAAAACAAGGAACTTACTCTTTCAATAATACTATCAAGAGCTTTGGGTAGTTATAAAGAGTTTTTTCTATGAAGGCCAAAATTCTTGAAATATTTAATCTACCTTCCTCCTTATTCATTAAAAAGAACTACAGCAGGGGATAGAACGTACATGGGGAAGTTAACTGGTCAGGGATGTTACTTAAATCTGTCAAACACGACACTTGCGGGACTTTGGCAACACAGAGTGTCAGATTTGTTTCCATGATTTGACCATGATTGGTTGGAGGATCAGACTTCCCAGTTGATGCCCCTTATACAAGCAGATCATATATAAACAAGCAAACAAAAGCGCGAGGGGGACACGTGGGTGCAAAGAAGATCCAAACGAAGGTGCTACTGGGAGAGAGACTTTCCAGTGGAAAACACCTAAATTTAAAACCCTGCAAAAGTGAGAAGATGCACCCTACTCAGGTGGAGGAAAAAAAGTGTTTTCTTTTTACTAGATAGCTCAAGAATGAAGGGAATATACAAGTCTCCTTCCCCTTCTCTAACTGTAAACAAGAGTGTTTTTTAAATAACATGCTGTGCTCAGAATGTTAGGGAAATAAAGCAATTCCAAGTTGTAAAACCAGAACATTTAAAGGTCCCCTCCGATCCAAGCTATTCTATGGCTCTATGAAATCTTGAATCCGGTGCATTCCCTCCCTGCCCAGGACTCATATCCAGATTTTTCTTGAGAAGCATGCTGCCATCAGCAAAAAAGCCAGCTACTATAAGAAAAGATCATATTGTTAGGAGTAGCCATTCATCTTTTCTGCTGTGTGTTCTTCCCAAATACTGAAGTCACTGCATTACTCCCAAGTGCTGACCTCCTGTTTGCAGATCAAGCAGAAGTACATTCTCAGTCTAGTCTGCTTTTTGTGTTTTGCAGACCTGGGACACGAAACATCATGAATTATCAACTAACTTGGACTTCCCATAATGGAATAGGGTCCCAACAGGAATGACTTGCTGTTCCCTGATCTTGCACATGTATGCTCCATTAGAATCATAGAATCATTATGGTTGGAAGAGACCTCAAAGATCATCAAGTCCAACCGTACACCTGATGCCGCTTTATAAGCCATTCTTTTTACTGACTTAGTGGGAGATGCAGAAACGCTAAAACGGGCTTATCCACATGATGCTTAGACTGATATTTTAAAAACCAGGCATAGTTAAATGCCTAGAACTTACCCCCAAGTTTACGTCTGCTGCTGTGGTCTGAGGGCTCACAATGTCCTGGTAAGTATTCTGACTCTTGGCAGCAGAAAGATGATTATTTACTCTGTTAGCACTGATAAATACAAATTAACTGGTATATTCCCCAGACAATTCTCAGGGCAAGAGAAAAGACCTCTATTATGGATGGCTGCTTTTACCAGCTACTGGCATACTGTTGAAAAGTACTTAGTCATTTATTGTTAGTATACAATAGCTTGACTTAAAGAGCAGCTAAAAACTAATTTTGTTAAACATAACTTGCACCCATGGCAAATGTCAAAACAGTATTTGCCAATCTAATCGCATACACTGGTACATTCTGTGTTTCAGGTGGTCAGCGAAGGCATTCATCCCTTTCAGATCGAGGACAAGGACATAAATTTTATTCCTCCTTTGACACAAGCAGTTCAATAAAGTAGTTTGTCCTGTGCTGAGGGTTTTTTTTTGTTTTGTCTTGGTGGGGTTTTTTTGCCTTTTTTTTTTTTAAAGATTACTCCAAGGGTGTGATAAAAAGTACTTCCTTAAGCAGTAGTCCTCTGCAAGAGAGCTCATGGAAGAGCAAGGGGCTGGGGTGCACATTATGTATGATGTATGCCCACTACAACTATAATCCAGCAGTCCAGCAACAGAGCTAGGTCAACTTTCAAAAGAAAAGGTCTACAAAAAGTGAATGTATGAGAAGTTGCACTGTTCAAAATAGCTGACTGGACATAGACACTAAAGAGAAGTGTCAAAAGAGAACAAGTCCTAGACTATAAATGTTTGGGGTTTTTTTTAATGCGCTTGCTGGGCATAGACTGGGTCAGCACTGAAACACACTGAAGTTTACAGGAAAGATATAGCCTATAAAGGGAGATTGTTCTAACAAAAGTATCATCTCAGTTACTAGATCCGTTAATAGCAGACATTTCGAACAGCTAACATTTTGCAACAAGAAAGTAACCAGTACAGCATACCACTAAATACTACAGCGAAGCTTCAGGAACGGATTGATTTCAGTACCACTCAGGTTATATAGCTATATACCACCACCTATATAGCTCATGAAGTCTCCTTTGTAGAAAGCACAGCGAGGACATTGATCTCATCCAAAATCCTCAGCAAGTATCTTTTATTTCATCCTCCTACAGAAGGAGGAATTTGCCTCAAGATCAAGCCTAAGATTTCAGTCTTGCTCACCCTACTGCAACCTGAAGGTTATGAAAGAAGTCACAGTTGGGATCTCTGCCAACAAGGGTCATTAAGTCTTAAAGCCATTGAAAACCAGCTTTTAGAGTACTTCTCTATGCTAGGGATAACACTGTCCTCAGCTAAATCAGCTAACAGCCTTTCAATTAATAAGGCAAGGAACTAAAGTAATTAAGTGTGGCTAGAAACAAAAGTGAAACAGAGCTGATGAAATACATCCAAACTTTGCAATCACTGGTGTGCATACCCCCGTGTCCCCTCCTACTTCCTGTTATTCCCTAATCAATAGCTTTTATTTTCCACTCATCATATTCCTCAGTCCCAATTAGCAACTCACTTTTAGTCTGTAAGACAGTATAGCATCTTCATTCTTCCCCTATATAATCATGTCAGGGAATAAATTACTTCAGAGGAGTTATTGGAGTCCTTTTATCTCTTTGCACTGGATAAACCAGGCTTCAAAGATTAGAAAGGATTAGTTGGCATGACCTATGTGTTAGCCCCCAACTCCTAACATGATCTACTCCACAGCCAACAGGGATACAACAGGATAGTGGAGTGGATGAAGCTTTAAAAGACTACAAAAAAATTAATTAAAAAAAATTAACTCTTGGCATGTGAAACAAGGCTTGTTACTTATTCATACACAGTACACACTTTAAAAATCTGAGCATTAGAAGCCAGTACTCTGCACTAATTTGTTTAAAACCTTCCCACTACAAAAATCCATTTGCTTCAAAACTAGGCAGTCACACTGCCATAAATAATTTAAATTCAGCCTTTTAAATGCAACCTGTGCAAGTTCTGTAACAGCCTAAATACTCCAGAATACTCAACAATACTTCAGAAACTTACAGTCTGTTAGGCCACGAGAGGCCTGTCAGCTGATAACTGAACATTTACAAAACAAATTAATGAAGAAAGATCAGTCATTGCTCCAAGTAGTTTAACTAAATGCCACACTCTTCAAGAAGTGACGCAAAGACACAAAGCAAGACAATAAAGGACAGAAGACAGACAGTAAAATTATTTATGTCTCTTCGTAGATGTTAAGAGGAAGATTTTTATTTTGCACAACCTATTTGTTTCTGTTAAGGTATTCAGGTTTACTCACTTCTTCCAAACACCTCTCAAAGAAATGGACCCTTCCAAAAGAATACAGAAATTCAGATAGATTACTGGTTTTACTTACATAACTGGATCAAACATATTGCGGATCTTTAGACATGGTGTCAAGCTGTTCGGTGGTGAATTTCTTCTGTCTAGATGAAACGCTACAAAGAAATATAATAGTATTTATTGACAGGCATAGTACCATCCAGTTAACAAGTGTCAACTTTACACACTAATACCTTTCTGGTTTTACTCAAAAGAATACTTCCCTTCATATATGAAAAAGCTTCAAGCAAATTAAGTTCCCCATAGTCTTCTACTGCACTGAAGAAAATGTACAATACTTAACTGAACTGTTTAGATTTACAGCTCCTACATTTAAAAAGATAACGCACTCTTTTACAGCCAAGGCCACAGTACATGGAAGGAATTCACGATATTTAAAAAATACCATATAGTTGAAGAGAAAGTATTTGCATTACATCTCCATGAAAAGACAGATATTCTTAATATCTGGAGCAAGTTTCTGGAGTTCCAGGTTAATGATTCAGTTTTAACTGCCTGATGAATTTTCATTTCTTCCACTTCTGGGGCAATTTACTGCCCATCTGACTAAGAAACACAGAGACGCTCAGATGGATGTTATATTGCATCTGTATTGCAGTAACAACTGTCAAGGTGCACTCTACAAGGACAGAGCTTTTGTAATCCTAAATGCTCTGCGCACATGATCAGAAGCTTGCAAAAATGAAACACAGAGGATAAAACAGACGTAAGAAGAAAAATGGAAATTAAACGTAACAGAGCAACCCTTTCAAAGCTGAACAATCCCATGAAATACATTCTGAAGTTCTAAAATAAATATTAACTTCTCTAAAGTTCACAAGTTCTACTTGTGGTAGTCGCAACAGAAGACTGCACCACAAGAGGAGGAATAAAGGAGCCCTTCAAATTCAGATAAGGTAATTCCATGCCTCCAGAAGGGTCAACAAAGCAGCAACAGAAATTGAAGGGGATAACCAGGTAAAACAACTTCCAAGGTTTGAAGGAAGTTTTATTTTGAAGACTTGAGATGAGTAGATTCAAGAGTTTAAATGTAAGATTAAAAATCTCAACAAGACAAAATGATGTTCCAAACTGATGCTAACGCTTCTCCTTTGCAATCCCTACTTTGGAAAAGTTTGACAGATTCAAGATGTTACATTCCAAGCATTAGAAGTCTGTTTTGGACAGATGATGCTACAGATCTGTGCTTCTTACTGCTGACCTTTTAAAACAAAATCTTGCAAGTATATCCAAAATATATGAGCACTGTTGCTCTTCTGTATGTCACCAAAACAAAAACCGTGTCATGTAGAAGAAATTCAGTCATGTGGAAGACACTGCACGTGAAAGACAAGCACTAACCAAGAGAAAATTCACTGCCTGCAAGATATGGCATAGACAAACTTGTTTCTTATGCAAATTTCTAAGGGAAAAAAAATACACTTACCAAATAGAAATTAGAAAAGGTAGTCTCCGAATCTAATACGGAACCAACCGTAAGTTCCCCAAATAACTAAAAGTGTTCTTATTAGAATATACACACACAGAGTCCAAGTCACCAACACCTATACCAATTGTCTGGTTTTTCTTGGGAATAGATTTCTAAATATGCTGGTGACACTGCATCTATCTCTGAGCTGCCTATAGTTTAAGGACAAGTCCTTTTTCAATAGCACATGGTTTTGTAAAGTTTTTTGCCCTTGATTAAAAATTATACATAGGGTATACAATAAAAACTTTACAGAACTAAGCAACATTGAAAAACAAACGGACTTACCTTACTCATGTAGGTTGGCTCCAGCAGATCAAGGGGGGGGGTGAAATGTCACCAGCATATTGTACACTGGGGCACCAAACCATACTGGAGAAGGTGATCTGGGGTGGCCTAGTCATGGACCTGGACCTGAAAAGGCGTGGGGTTGAGGAAATTATGTGCTGATTGTTAATAGTTAGGTTGACTCAGCACATGGTTTTAATCCACCTTGGATTAAAGAATGGTGAGGTTATTTGCAGGGACCCTAGGCCCAGAGGATCAACACTTCTGCAAGCTGGTTATGAATTCCAAAAAAAAAAAATCCCATACTGTTGTTTAAGGCAGCAGCTTCACCACTGAGCTATGCAAAAGTAACTAAATGGGGAATTCACGTTTTAGTGTAGACACCTATAAAAAAACCAAGCTCTGCCTGCTCCAATTCCTAATAATCTTGATGTCCTTTTGATTGAAAGATCTCAGGTGCTTGCAGAGAGGACTTCAGCCAGAGCACACCACCAGCACAAAACTAATCTGCTACCAACTTAATGTAACATCACACTAGTAGAGCAAGTGTGCCCAGGGCAGGGCAGCATATGAAAATAAAGATGAATTCTGCTTTTTCTCAAAAGTGTTTCAAAATCATGGTAAATGTAAGGAGAGTTTTGCAACTTGGACAGAGCGTTTTACATATAAAGGAAAAAACGGCCACAGAAATCAGTAAGGTACAAAGTTAATGCTAGCACAGTAATAAGCATTAAAACGTATACCAGAAATGGCACCAAAAGGGGAGGCTATGCAAGACACAGGCAAGTTAAAGATAATGCTGTACCTACATAGCAGAATTCAAAATGGCGTAGTTAACAGATGTCTCTTGAACTTCATTGCACATCTATAACAACTAATTCTCCCCCTCCCCCCAAAAGAGCAAGTTTAAGTGGCAAACCTATTCAGATTACAGTACTGATTATTTGAAAATTTTACACTGGTGTGGAGCATACAAAATATTCTCCTCACAATAAGGGCATAAGCAGACATTCTTGCAGGACATCAGTCTAAGCTACACCAGAATTAACTAAGCATTTCACATGCCATTTCTTTTCCTAAATGGGTCTCAACAGTTAAGACTTACAAGATGAGGGTAAAAAGGTAGAGATGAAATAGGAAAGCAGAAGCACAACTTTGTGCAATCAGTCACTGACAAGAAAATTTTTAGGACTTTCATAAATTCCCCTTGGGGACTAGTGAGCACCTTCAAGAAAAGGAAGTCACTTTGTATTTCAATCATAATGTACTTTGTTTTATTACCTTAAACTGTATCATTCCAGATTCAAAGAACAGCAGCAGCTAAAAGCATGCGATTTCAACAACCTCTTTATCACTGTGACTGGAATATGTCTATGATGGAAGAAGCAGCTCTTGCACAAACTTCAAGAGGAGCATCTAAGAAACTGTAGTACAGCCTTCTATACCTCTTGAATTCCTACTGTATTATTGCTAAAGGGATTCCCCAGTATCACCACCATGGGTTCTAAGACAGCCCAACAGATCTTTAGATATGGATTTGATGCACCTGATAAGGTTGAAGACTTGCATCAAATATAGGTAATCATGTTTCTGAAGAACAGATTTATTCATGTTAAGCCACAGATCACTAATTTATTAAGTACTAACCCTTCTTATCAAAGGCAAGAACAAAAAGATAAAACATTTAGTTGAAAATGTTGAAGTTACACACTTTCACACAACACGAGGTTTTTCAGTAAACAGGAAAGATATTGAAATCAAAATACTGCTAAACGTTATTAAGAGAGGAGAGTATGGGTGACTTGGGGTTTAATACAGTTAAGTTCAGCTATAGAAGACCAGCCTGGGATGGATAGAGCATTTTACAACAAGCATAAAATCCAGAGTTTTCTTGCAGTAGTTAAAAACATGGAGAAAGGATTGTATTATCAGAAGCTGGGGAGGAGGGGTGTCACTCACAAAAGGTAACAGGTTATCTTCCATGCTGGAGGATGAAATATCACCCTAGACGTGGTACTTCAGAGAACCTCTTTATCTCATCTCCAGAGCTGTCAAGGAACTTTAACTATTGCTGTTAGCTTAGCTACATTGGAGCTCTGCCTACCTATTTTTCTTTAAATCTCCAGTTATCAAAGGCATGATAGGATAATAGTATCTGTTCTTTTAAAAGCCAACTGGACACATTAGAAATGTTTAGGGTTTTTTTTTTCCTCCATTGCTTTAATTAAATTACACTTCAGCATGATCAAGATTGTTTTTCAATTGATAATTCTCTTGTCAACTGTTTTCAAAACATCACTCATTTGTCCATCATCCCATTTAGTGGGCACGATGGCATTGGGTATATGGCTGGACTTGATGATCTTTGAGGTCTCTTCCAACCATAATGATTCTGTGATTCTATGATCCTACAATGACCTTACCTACCTACCCAGTCTTTTTTTGTTTGGTTGGGTTTTGTTTTTTTTGACAGATATGTCTACTGTGTCCAGTAGATAATATTTCAAAGGAAGTACAACAGACTTTATTCTGACTCAGTAAAAAAAAAACAAAAAAAACAAAAAAACCCAACAGTCTGTCAAACACAGGCTGCATCCTGAAGGACTGGACAAAATGCCAGTGATGCTTGAACTCTAGATCCTAACAGACAGTAGAGCCTAGATCTTCCTGCGTGCTACAGGTCCTATATTTAAAATGCATGCTATCATCTACCAATATCCTAGTACACACTGGCAGGTCAAGAGGCTTTTTTTCTTCAGTGGCACCTACACTCTAGATATTGTGCTCTGTTACAGAGCACTACCAGATCTCAGAAGGTTAAAAAAGTTGTGACCTTGAAATTTATTACAAGATTCAAAAACAAGAATTCACGCTGATTTTGTATGTAATGAGTTTGTTCAGGACCTAGCAGTCTTTAAGAGTAGATTCATGAACTTCTATGTTCAAACATCAAAACTGGAGGATGAACTTAATTCCAGTTGATTAATACTTCCAAAAATGAAGAAAATGACACATAGATATAGAATTCCTACCATCAGGAAAGAAACAGCTGTGCAAAAAGTAAGAGACTTATGCAATGGAACTATTTCCAACAGCGATATGAAAACAAGCAACACAAAATAGAAAGAGCCTTTGCAGGTGAAAATTGCCTTTGCCTGCTGACTACCAAGACAAACAGATCCCAGATGACCTATGCCATTTCAGTCACCCCTATTTCCATGCCCTTCTGTTAGAGCCAAAGTATGCAGTTTCAATTCTTCAAAGATCTTTGCTGAACTACAAACATAACAAGAAACAGGACAGATCTTAATATATCCTATTAAATAGAAAGCATAGAGTTTTAAGTACATACTCCAGGCAACATACAGCTAAAAGCCAGAGCTGAGAGGTTAAGTTATTCTGTCCACATTCACAATATGCTAAAGTAGGTACCAGATGCTCAAATGCAGATGGTACCTAACAGCAACCACTGCAGCAGCTGTCTTTCTAGGAAGTTTTGGAAACTACTGTTCTGTTGAGAGTCTTGAATGTGTATGCCATGTAGCAAAGCAACACCTGAGCTATCACACACTGAGAAGTCTTCCAGATGAAGGAAAATCCAGTTTGATTTCTAATACAGGACAGAATGTTATGTAGTGATTTATATTGCAACGAAACAGAACAAGAAAAACTGAGAGCAAATGAGTAGTAAATGAGAAATTACAGAACTGGAGTGTCATGTTTCACAGCCTCTACTGAACAATAAACTATGTAGAAGATTCAGCTTTATAATATATGTAGCTTGCAGAAGCTACGTTCAATTTAAGCGTTTTAAAATTAATCATGACAGTATTAGAGACAGCTGTTGATAAAACCCACTGTTTCTGCACTGCACCTAAAGCACTTGCACATCCCTAATAGACAATGTCCTAGAAAGAAAAGGCTCTGCAACTCTCACATCTTACAAACTAAAGTTTCTCAAAACTGAAATCATGTTGTCACCGCAGAATGCCATGTTACTACTACTGCAAGACAATGACTGCAGAATCTCAAGCCTGCAGTAGTATTCATAAGGTATTTTTAAAAAAAGTAGCCTTCATTTCCCATAAGTGATTTAAAATGAGAAACATAATGCTAAAACCAGTAGCATGACTTTGAGAAGCATATAATGATATCCCAACATAACATTTTACATAGACAAGCAAGAAATGAGTCCCCAAGACTACTAAGACCCTCATCAGATAACATGCCAAGTATCTGCGAATGTCTCAAAATATTTGGCTTTTCAAGTTGACATGAGAGAACTGTTCGGTTTTGCTTTGAACTTACAGAAAAGCAAAATTTAAGACCCAAGGGCTAAAAGCATACATAGAACTTGTGAAAACACCCAGTGGCCTGGGACAAAACCAGAATGCTAGCACTACTTTTACGTGGGCAATCAAGCTTGCTACAGCATAAATGTTCCAGGCCACAAAGCAGCTCTTTCTGTCTGTCTTTGGAAAGGAAATAATCACATTGGAAGGAGATACTTTAAACTGTACTCTCTTTTATAGGAAAAAAATAAAACATTGTTTCTTACAAATAAAAATGTATACCAGCAAAAAGCAAAAGAAGAAAGCCTATTCCTACTTGCATTACTTAAACTAAGACCAAAAATTACCATACTCCAGAAGAACATAGATGAGAGTGCAGTTGCTTGCCAGTGGGAATTTTCATTCTGTTTAAGTGGGACTAGGAAGGGCAGAAAGTCTGTCTGTTTTTTAATTAGGCTTTTTTCAGCATCTAGTTCAATGCCATAGAAGTAATGCATGATACAACCTTGGTAACATTCAATTTAAAAAGCTGAACTAAAAACTGGAGAAGCAACCATTCCCTCCTCCCTCACCATCAAAACAAGCCCATGAGTTTATAAACTAGGATTCTCTGCAGTATTTATTTCAGTCCCCCTGGAGAGAGAATACAACATTACAGAAAACATAAGGCAAGACAGACTCTTTAAGAACGAAAACATTTAAACAATTGGCAATTAAGATTTCACTTCAAATATTTACCTTCACACTCAGACATCAACAGAAATGACCATTTTTTACTACAACCCAGAATTCAAGTCTTATCACTTCCATTTTTCATTGACAAAAAACCCTCATCCCAGAAACTGAAGCTTAACATGAAGAAAGGCAGAAAGAAAAAGGAACTAGGAAAAGATGACCACTGCAGACAGACAACTGCAAACCAGACAACTGCAACAGACAACTCCTCCTCCAGACTCTGTCTTTAGGCACCCGACTGATAACAGCAGGAAACTCAAGTCTACAAGCTCTGATTTACCTGCTGTCAGTACAATCAATTACATGACTTCCAGTAACTATAAGGCATGTCAGAATTTGACCAACTAAAGAGTTGGTTTGGGTTTGGGTTTTTTTTGTTTTGTTTTGGGGGGTGGGTGGGGTTTTGTTTGTTTTTTAAATTCATGAAAAGAAACAAGCAACTCATTTCAGCTACATGCCCTCTGCTGTATTTCGGCATAGCTGTAACAGAAAAGCTCATTTTCCTTGAAAACAAGGCAGACACTGAATACACACAAAAAGAGTCTAGTGAACAAGATAATAGAGAAATAGCACTGACAGTTCATAATACTTAAAGGTGTGAGAGGAAACAAGCCTTTCATGTTCAAGCAACAAAATACCATTTAGAAGTTAGATGCAGAAATTAAAACAATCATATTTGCAAAACACAACTAAACTTCAATACCTTGGCCTTGCCACACTTTCGATGGTATTACTAAAATTTTGTCACATGCTGCAGAAGGTTGCATCCATTTCCAAACCAGTAACTCAGCACCACCTATTCTTCGTGTCTCTGTGCGAACTCTAGATTCATTTGCTGCAAGAAAGTCAACTGCTCTATTCCAGACTTTCCTCATTTTCCTCCTTAAAAATTGAACCAAGAATTGCAAAGTTAGCATTGTAAAAGCCTGCATAGCTGACATTCAGCATGTAAGAGAAATCCAGTGTTTTTTCCCCCCCACCTGCATCAATAAGAATCTCCAAAATATTACACTATGCAACCCACTAAAATTAACTTACTTAATTGACCAATTTTTACTACTTTTCCTTACTTACACATAAGGAAATTCAGTACTTCTAGTGAGAACATACCTGTCCTGAGGTGGTATTAAAGAATCACGCACGTGTAAAACAGGCATGTAAGGCTGCAAGTCTTTATTTTCAGAACATGCCTCGCTGTGACTTCTTAGAACATCTGAGGACACCATAAGAAAAACTGGTAATTACACAGTTCATGCAAACATTAAGAAAAATATCAATTCTGGCAATGAACAGCTACTCTAAAGACCTCTTCCAGTTTTAGTAGTTAAGGTGGTTTTGCAATTTTGAAGCATTTTTCCTCCTAACCATGCTGAAGGCAAATCAAGAAAACTAACCACACAGGGTGCCTCCAAGTATTCCAAACAACTTTGGAATAAAGGAAAAGAGTTCTTGCAGTTAAGTCTTGATTGGTACTGTCAACTCTTAGCCGCCTTTGAAAAAAAATAAAAAAGTGCTTGCTTTCCACCCCAACAAAACTTGATTTGCAAACAAAAAAAGCTAAGAAAGTGGTAAAAGCAGGAAAACAGCTCTGAGCTGTCTATCATCTCTGTATTTATGATGATTGCCACAGGTGAAAGTAATAAGACGATTTAAGTAAAAATGCAGCCCAAACCAGAGTTTAAAAACTACAAACTACTGAAAACATTGTGGCTTCAAGTAGAAAGGCAGAATTTCAGAACTCAATTATGTCTTCTATTTTAGTAACATAATTTCTGTTCAAAGTGACTAATTAAAAAGCTGCTTTTCCTCTGAAAAGCCATTAAGGATGGAATTGAGAGCCAACACACATTTTAGGAGTGGATATTTTAGCTAAAGATAGCTGAAAAAACAGATACAGAAAGCAACATGTCACCATACTTCTAGTCAACAAACATCACATTTGTTTTCAATAGCAAGGTATACCACCAAGTCAATGGGAATTTATCATAGCAATGTTGATATAATTCACAATCTTTATACCAAAAGCTTTGATTAAAAAAAAAAATCATCCTTTAAACCTAAAGAGAAACAAAACACATGAATCACATTGGACCAAGAACTCTTAACAGCATGATGACTGCCAACTAAACAGGCAGAAAACATAACCAAATTAATGCCAGTACTTTGAAAGTATTAATTCAGAGCTGATACCGATACATCAGATGTGACTCAAAAAGCCATACCTATGATTTTTACCACCATATCGTACATCTGCCTTGTTTCTTCTTCCTCTTTTGCCCAACGATATTTCATGTAGTGCAAGACTCCCCAAACCATTGCTATACCTGCATTAAGATGTACAATACTCTTTAAACAGTATTAGAACATTGGTTATTTAACAAAGTTTGCAGTGCATACTTCAGAAGTTGAACTAGCTAACTTTGAAATTTAAAGTTAGTGAAATACACTTTACTGACTATCAATATTTTATATTTTACTAACACAGCAACACAAACTCTTGAACTTTGAAGAGGGGTTACCTTTAGAAAAACATTTCATTGTTTTAACAATAACCTGGTATCTTTTGACTGTGGTTTGAAATTTTACCCATTAGTGAAGAAAAACAGTAAAACAATTATATTGGAAAAATTCAAAGTCATATCAAAAGTCACATAAACTGACAATTCAGAACATGTTAAGGTTTAAAAATGCACAGTAGTCATTAATTCATAGACACATCACGTGCTTTAGATACACCAGACAAAACTTACTAACTTGGACTGCTTCAGTTCAGCTACAGATTTGTATTTCTCGCAATAAAGTACTGGATGCTGTTTTTCTATTACTTTAAGGATTATTCCCAAAAAGGACAATCTAGTTAGGAAGGTCAGCAGCATTAAGTTGAAAATAAAAATGTTACTCCTTCTATCTTGGGCTGAGCACACCACTACACCAGTGATCTCTTAACAAAAAAAAAACCCAAATGCCAAACAAAACCACACACACAAATTATAGTTACATAGTTTGTCTCGTACACCAGCGATTGCAAGGCAATGTTAACTGATACATCAGAGACTGAGGGACACCATTTTAGGTCAGAATGGGTGTTAGTTAATGACAATACATCTAACATTTATACAATGGTTTATTTTTGAAAAGGTGCTTCATATTAACCTTAATTACAGATGAGAAAGTTGAGACAGAGCAATGTGCTCAGCGTGACTGATGAGACCAGTGGTTGATTTGGATACTGAGTTTTATCTCTGCATCCCAATTCAACCCTCATATCGACTATTACCAGAATAACAGCCATCTGGGACAGTTTGCCTTTGATTCTTTTGGCTCATCAAAAGGCTAGTGAAGGAGGTCTCAAGCCTTACACTCATAAGCATGAAACTGATAAGATATTAGGATAAATAATTTATTAAATATTCAATAGGTGCATGAGATGAACTCTGCATCTGCAATATTTCTAACTAGCCACAGGGAAAGGACTGAAGTGTCTGCACTCAGCTGTACCATATTTTTATGCTGCATACTTTTCAGTACGGTTAAGAATTAAATAAACTTGAAAGAATTTGAAACTTAACTAGAGTACTATCAGACTAAATGAATTAGTCTTACTGAAGGATTAGATAGATTTTTACAACATAGCCTTAGAGGTAAGAATTTTTGGTGACATCCATGTTGGGTATCCGACTTTTCCTAAAACTAGGAAAGTTATCTTTCCTGTAGTTATGTTTCCTAAGTTCCTGGAACAACAGTGAAATATCCTCAAAATTAAGGCTATCATGTCTTTTTACTGAGCTTTTTGCTTTTTCAAATCAGTTCAACCTGGAATTTTTGAAAGTTACAAGGTATTGCTTTGGCAGAGAAAAAGACTGAGTTCCCAAAGAATGAGTATGTTCAGCTGACCACAGCAGCAGATGATAGCAACCAATGTGAAAATACAGTGGTGCAACAGAAGTGCAAAGCAAACTGCATTGTCATCAGAATACTGATAGGAACTCCAAGATTTATGGTTGAATAAAAGCTTTCTCTAAACATTCTGTTTACTTTTCCCCATGCACTTACATAAACAAATGTTATAACAAAAAAGTTTGGTTTTTTTTTAATTAACTTACCCAAAAGCAATATTGATAATCTGTGAGTTACATTAACAAACGCACGGCGAAAACGACACCTGAAAGACATCTTTGGGCTAGTGGATTCCAGATACTTCACATCTGTCACATTAGTGACATCCATCTCATTAGGGTCATTGCTGAGACACCTATTCAAAAATATACAGTATTTATGAAAAAGGATATATTCTGTTAGAAGAAATTAAGTTAAGAAATAGAGCCCACTTACTTTATGCCAACATCTTCCCCACTATTCAAGATCCATTGTAATGCTGTGTTAAGTACACTTTCATATTCTGGATCTAAATCCTGTCAAAAGACAAATATCAATGAGTAATTCCACAAATAACCAGAAAGTTATCATGCCACAATAAAATTCAGATACTGTACAGATTAGTAGCCAGAACTACATGGTTTTGTTTGTGATTCTTCAGATTTTGCAAACATGTTCACCATGCAAAGTGAATCTATACATGCTACAAGCAGTTATCAGACTTATGAGCACTCCTTAAATTAAGGCCTGTTTGAAAAGCCAAGCCACATTCACTGTTTTATTAGCAATTCTAACCGACAGCAAGAAAAAAAAACAACTACTCAGCCACTAGGTGGTGCTCACTGAAAGTCTACTTCAAGAGTAAACCCCACGTTAGCTACAAACCCAGCTGAAAATGGGTCCTATAAAAGCAATTCATGTCTTGTCTTTTTTTAAAGCAGCTTGAGGAGAAGCAATTTTAACTGCTATTTTGCAAATAGTCCAGTGTTTGTAGTTCAAGAACTGATATTACTATATAGAAACTGACTTTAAATTAGCTGGTATCAACTATCACAGGAGAACATTCACTGCTATCTGAGCTAAGGCTGTCTCCATAGTTCACCTTGCATGTTCTTTTGCAGAAAAAGAAAAGCAAAAATGGAAATTACTATTGTATTTCAAATTACGCTCTCCAAGAAGATTTATCTCCCGTCTTTCCTTTGACCCTCACATAATGTAACTGGCCTAGAATTAAACAATAACTGTTTTATTTTCACTTTGAGAGTAAAATATTGAGGTTTTATCACTGAACACTGAAATTCTGCAAGGGAGTTATATTTATAGTCCCCAAATGATGAACTATAGGGTTAAATGAGACTTCAAAGTGACAGATTTTTGTATGAAATTTGAGCTTCCTATCAGAGCTAAAACAGTTGTTATCATAACAACTGTCATTCTTTCAGCACAACAGATAATAGGTAAGGCCATCAGTTATCTGGCATCAACTTAATTTTTTCCAATGTATTCTCACAATGCAGTGGTTTTAACCAATACAGAATATTATTGCCAAACCATAAACTAGTGTTAGCAGCTTCTTCAGGATGCTCTTAACGTTGCTCCTTTTTGTCTACTACGTAAAGATTTGCCAAAATGTAAAATTTCTATACATTTGTATATTAAAAGTCACATCAGCTTAACTCCCCCCCATGCAATCAAAGAAATCTTATACTCTCAGCCTTTTAAAAGCTTTAAGTAGTTTTCTGCTGAAGGGTACACCAACGTGGGCTAAAATAAACCCTACAGCTGTCAAGACAAGGCAAGAGTCATCTTTTATTTGGGGAGTGAGGCAGGGGAATGACAGAGAGTGGGATTTCATAATACTGCACACCTATCAAATTAACAAAAAGGCCTTTTTTGACCATTTCTATTTAAAGCATCAATGAATGGCATCTCCCCGCGGCTGCTGCCTGTCAGGCCCGCTGTAGAGATCCGCACATCAACCTCTCCTCCCAAAGAAAGGAAAACAGTATCCTTTTCTGTAAGTCTCAAAATATAGCATACTGACTTCTGGAGAAGCTTCTAGAGATTTGAATTTCATAGATTTATGATTGGGTCAACTATCTCCATCAATCCAAATTATGCCCTGGTGTTTTAACTAAAGGGAAGAAAACTGAATGCCACTGAAGCACTACTATCTACACTTTCGTTGCAATTAAGCCACTTTCTTTCACCTTCCCTCTTCCCCATAACCTTGCTACATCCCCAAATAAAAACTGTAAGTAGCATGTGTTAAAGACATCAATTCCAAACATTTCCAAATAACGTTCAATACCAAGTCAAATTTTAGTCAATATACTAGATATGAAACCAGGCCTTACAAATTGTAACTTACACAATTCTTATATAAAGTCAATGAAAAATACCTCGTTTGCTTACTTTTAAATATGCAGCTGCCTCCTGGACGGTAAGATTTCTTTGAATAGAGCTGCCACATTCATGTTCCCCTGGTAAAATTAAACTTTTGTTTATTTTGATCTAGTTATTACTGCATTATATAAAATAAAATCACCTAAACACAAGCTTATGGTTAACACAATCTACACAAGCAGTAGTGGCTCAATAATTCTCACAAGTTCCATTAAAATATGGAAAAATCTCTGGACAAATTTCTTCTTCAAAGAAAGTTAAAAAAACTGGAGATTGTCACAGCTAATAATATGTACAAATTGCATCAATACAACTTCAGGTACTGCTCAGAAAGTATATTCTGGTATTTACACTGAAAGTAGAACAAAATGTAGTATGAAGAACTATCAAAAGGACATTACCATAAAACAGTTGCTGTACTCAACTTCTTCCAAATAATTTCCATTTACTCTGAAACATGTATTGTCTTTTATACAGACCAAGTTAGTTCCAGTTGCAACATACCCATAACAGTATTTCAGGCACTAGAAAGTCACATTTTACATTGGTCCAAGTTACCGTAATAACTCATCACTTTCATGAACACACACAAAATCCCAATATGGCCTGAAACTGGTAGTTTGACCATCCTCCTAATTCTTTTGGAAAGTATGCAGAAGTAGTCAGGAAATATGCACAGTCAGTCCTCACAGCCACATGCCATCATCTTCCTGATTTTCTTTGCTAAACTGAAGGTACTCGATTCATGCAAAAAAAATACGTAGTGACAGTCACAACAACACAAAGTCACACGGAAAAGGAAAAGGCCTAACACCACTTTTATCTATCACTAGGCCACCATTTATGAAGAACTGTCAGGGAGTGGCAAACCACTTCTTTCCTGATCTTTCTAAAAAAAAAATTTAGCATCTAACACTATGATTTTACTTTGCCAAAACAATAAAATAGGAAACAACAAATCCAGTCTTTCACTGCCTCACGCTTACGCCTGCCTTACTCTCCTGAGCCCATGCCAAGCTATATTATTCCCAAAGCCATAGCAAGGCTAGGAAAGTTCAAGATACTCATGCATATACATAATATAAACCTTTGTTTACACTCTTTACAAAGTATTTCAAGTTGGAATTACTCCACACTGGAACACCCTTTAAATGGAGCAACTTCAAGTATTAGTTCCCTACACAAATGAGAACATTCAAGGCAATCTGAACAAGAATTAGGAAACACTAGCAAGTTATGGAGAAGCATCTTCATGTCTCATTCTCAGTAGGGAGTTCCAAAGAAATAAGTGTATCGATGAAGCAAAAGTCTTTCTCAGACTGCTAAAGCTAAGTTTGTCCAATATACTTCAACAGATTTAAGTGAATTTGGCCTTGCAAGCACATTGGCGTAACAGGGATGCTCTTCTCTTACTGCTGGGTTATAGAGAAACAGGAACACTGTTTTTAAGAGGGCTCATACGCCATCTGGCCTAGAAGTGCTGCTGGAACTAAGCCTGTGTGCATGCACATTATTTTCAAATCAAGCACTGAGCAGAAAAGACACTACTTTAAAAGTTGTTTCACTTGCTAGTTAACATGCAGCATCTTAGACTTTCAAAGTACCTGAGCCTACTGGAATAGCAAAAGCAGAGAGATCACTGGTGCAAACTGACACCACCTTTGCCAAAAAGCACTCTGAATTTAGAAGTTAGCACCAGAATTGGAGTTATGGGTTATTCTTGTATGTAATTTAGGCAGACATTCTTTTTGTGCAGCGTAAAATCTACAACCTGTAAATTTATGTGCGTAACCATCAGTGACTTCATGTTTCAAGATTAGTAGACTTGGGATAACTACGTATCATACTCATACAGTCTCTGGTGCAAACATACTGTTTTAAATCTAAAATTGATGGAATAAATACAACAAAACCAAAACGTACATACGTACAATTTCAATCAGGTATTAAGTCAGATGACATGAGCAATTCTGATAGGTATTTATCCATTTAAGCTTTTTTCGTTGTTTCGTAAGACCTGAAGTCTTCCTGGGGTCTTTCTAACACAGAAAAAGCACGTCAGTCATCATTTGACTGAGCAGAACAGCTTGTGAGAGCAGGGGGATGAAACCCTTCTGCTTAGGAGCTTTTGTTTGTTTGTTTTTTAATTATCTAGATAAGCAGGAAAGCCCATTTATGAAATAAATAAGAATGGAAAGGGCGAAGTTAATACACAGAAAAAAAACAAACAAGACACACAAACAGGAGACCAGATTGTGAAAAATGAATTCTTAAAAACAAGTTTCAGGATTCATTTCCGATTTTCAATCTTACGAGAACACAGCATTACCTCTTAGAAGAGGACAAAAGCTCCCTTGGATGGAGGACTACTGGATTACTTTAGTAGTTTTAAATTCTAATCTTATTTGCCTTCTTCCAGGCATTACGTTTATGCAGTATGCAGCCAACACACTGACTTCACAGCTTCTGGTCTCATCTTCAAAATCCAGCAGACAGCTTCCTCGCAGTCCTGCTTCTGAAGTTTTTTTCAGACCCTATTCCCTCTGAACAAATTTAACAGTTAAAAACGCCTTTGCTGCCTAGGCTCTGAGAATGTCTAAGGCCCATCAGTTCAAATTACCCTAACGCAATGCTGGGGGGAGAAATCACTTTCATCTTGCCTCCCACTCTAGGAACGAATAAGCTAATGAGAGTTACGGAGTTTCGGTCCTGTACAAAAAGCTGTTGGAGATGTAGTTTCTCATTCCAACCCATCTATTGCTGAGAACCATTTAACAGCTTTCTTCTGAGAAACTCATGAATTTGAAAGGCTGCAGAAAGTTAGGCAATTCACAAGTCAGACAACCTTCTGTTTTACTGCAAACAGCAGGATATTCCTATATGCCATTTCAGTCACCGCTTTAGCTAATAGTTCTGCAAATGAAGGCTTACTTTGAATAACTTTGGTGCAATCATTAACCACTTGGCCTGGAAACCCACTTTCCATAGTCTGAGCCAAAAATGTTTCCCAACTGTTCCACTTGAGGCCCTATATCCAGGAATAAAACTGAAGCAGAGGCAAAAAAAAAAAAAAATAAAATCTTTATACAGGTCTGCTGCAAGATACATCTGAGCTCTTTGTAAAAACTGCCCCTCTGTTAAAATGTCTGTTGCAAGCTTACAGAAAGCCTGGACCCTTGTGCTCAAACTTTTCTTGGACACAGATGCCTTTAATTTCAAGTGAAATCAGAGAACCATTCTACTTGCTTTTGTAGGGAGGCAAGAAGTAACACATCCCAGCGAGGATCACAAAATTACCTGTTAGCTTATGTCAGTGTACTTGGGCAAGCCACTTAAGAAGTTGAGTTCTTCTCCTAGAAATACTAACAAAAAGCAACTAAAGCCTCAGTTCTAAAGAAACATTTAAGTCTGTTCTCACAATTGCTTTCAATACAGAAAATAAGTCAGATCTGCTTTTCCATGCAGGCTAGAATATTTGAAACTGACTTTCATTTAGGCATTTAGCTTAATTTATGAGCTGCAGCATATATAGTTAAGAGAAATATTCAGAATTTTAAAGTATTTGCTTTACAGTGTAAAACATTCTGTCATTTGGTACCAGAACCAAAACCCAGTGGAAATCTAATACTTTATGGAACACATGGATTTAGCACAGATCTCTACCTTATAGCTTGATGCGATAGTCAACCAACACAAAAAGCAAATAGTGTATAAAACATTTGTTTAGCAGGTCTCACGTTTAGTGTCCTGCTGCAAGTAACCTGTAAAGTGGGTAGCTGAAGAATAGCAGAAGCAGAACAAGTGCTGTGAGAGCAAGTAAGAATGCCTGATCTCCCAAAGGCAAACTCAACAGTTTAATAACACTGCAGAAAAGCAGAACTTGTTAAATAGTCTTTAAATCACTGGTTGGAAACAGCACAGTATCAGTTACCTGAAGAACTGAAGATTAAGGAGAGTGACAGAACAGAGAGCTTGTGACAGCAATCAGATACAGTAGCTGACATTTGAAATTAGTATTAAGTAAAATCTAGTGTTTTGCCAGGATTTTCTTCCAGCCATGGATTTATCACTAAGCCTTATTACATATGGAAGTATAATTCACCCCAGCATCTCAAGGACCCGTGCTGTCCATTAGCTCAGAAGGAAACCATCTAAATCATCACTCTATGGAGAATGTCAAGCAAAAGAAACATCTAACTAAATACAAGTTCTTTACATACAAGAAAAGAGGGTCATACTCATGGGTAGCTGACTGCTTCTTGTGGACAGAGTGGTTAGGTTTATTCATTTTGCACACCTGACTAAAAATGGATGTGATCTATTGAAGTCTCTTCATGAAAGACCAAGACATCCAGTAACTAACATATGCCTGAGGGAAGCTAATTTAAATAAAATATATTTTGGTTTAGGAGAAAGTGTTAGGCACTGAAATATATACCGTGTATAAAAAGTTGCTCCTTTGAAGAAAGGCTGAACCATTAGACAAGAACACAGGAACACAAACTTCAACTCAGAAGTGGACTAGTTTCTTGTGAGGTAGGCATTACTCACCATAGGTTTGGCAGACTATTAATTCTGAGAACAGTGATGTATTAAAGGCAATCTGCTTTTATATAGGATAATTAAATCATTTTACATCATATCAGAGCACCACAGTACAGAATAGGCATCTACAGTTGGAACACAGCGTATTAAGTCAAATAAAATTAACAAACTGTCACCCTGACTTTTTCTTCCTTCAAACAACTTTGTTTTACCTTCTAAAATAAAAGCCCCATCACTTGGCTCTCCAATTGAAGTTGACAAGGTAAGAAACTAGCTCGGTAAAAAATACAAGAAGTCTAATAAAACAAAGAGGGTTAGAAACCAAATTCTGCAGTGACTATCTTCATGGTAGTCAAGATGTTGAATAAAGCTTAACAGAACAGACTACTGCAAGTTTCCAGCCTGCCTTTTTAATATTAATAGTTATAACATGAACAAACGATTCATAGCCAAGCACGAAATGAGAAAAACTTTTCCAAATATGTGACAGAGAGACCTGAAAAGCACCATTTTTACTAAAACTATATTCCTTTACTCCTCTCTCTTTTGAAGTGGTGCACTGTGTACAAGATCAACACTTTTAAACCTTGCACCTCTCTAGCAACTTTCTCGGTTCTATGCCTTTTAAACAGATTCCAGACATTGTGCCAGGTCTACATCAATATGGTATTCAAAAATGGACAGCAGACTTCTTCCTCTCATACCTTAAGAAACTTGGCGTTGAGGATAACTTCTGTCTAAATACAGATGAATTAGGTCATTTTTCAGACTTTATGAAAGCAATTCTGCTGAGCAGCCAGGTAATCTCGCAATACAGCTTCAGTTTGGGGGATCATCTAATGAGAAAGTATAGCTATATTTTTTGAAAGTAAGTACTGAAGATTCTCCTGGCCAGGAACAGACCGAGAAAGACTAATGCATCTTTGAGACCCGGGCAAGAAAGCAGTCAAATTCCTCTCATGAGGCAGACAGGTAAACATTTTTAGAAGTGTACATGCACATAGGTAAGCAGAAGCTAATGAAGAAAACTCCCTTTCTTTCACAGATGTAGAGATGAGGTGTCAAACCTTTCTGTCCAGGCAAGTACGCTGTTTACTGTATGGCCACCAGTGGGACAGATGACACACTGAGGGAACAGTAAGTTGTTCTATTTTCTTTTCAAAAGAGGGAGAGAAGTAGCATAACCCATTACTTCCACTTCACACAAGTCAGCGCTCTACTGCAGACAGCTGTGGGTCTCATAAGACATTCCTACACACCACAGGCTGGCTACCCTGTATGGAAAAAACACCTTTTGGCCCCAGTGATTTATAGCACCGGATTATCTATGTACCATCTATTAAGTGTGAAATAGTTTGAAACAGATAAAAATGTATCAAGATGCAACTGACCTGTGAAAGATCAATGCTGCAAGGCATTCAGAGTCACAAAGCAACAAAACGAAGACTAAAGCAACTATTACGTTGCATGCACTCAGGTTAAACATTCTTTCACTATTTTGGGTTAAAGAATAATGCAAACAAGAAGAAACTTGTGGGGTTTGTGCAAACATCTATTTTATTCACTGCAGATACTGTAAAAGCTCTGGAAACAAAAAGCTTCTGCAGGAAGACTACTCTTGCAATTTAAACCTATTACAGAGCTGCTCAAATTTCTTACAGATTTCCTATACAGCCTTGACATATTAAATTGTCAGCCTCATATCTGACACGGTTGTTTTCACGTTTTTTAATGTTTGAGAAATGTCTGTAGCACCTCATAATAGCAGAAAAGCCTTCTTGGTGAAACTTGCTGTTGCAAAACAAATAGTTGGCACAAAGCATAGCAAGGCTTAAAAAAACCAAAAAACCTGAACCACTGCCTCCCAAACACATTATGGATTAAATAAGCACGGGTGATAAATAAATGGCTTAATAGTCATGAAATACATTCTGCTGTAACTCACACTCACCAGATGCCAAAGTTAAACACAGTCTTAACTTTACTGTTTCCGGATTGTTATGTGTAAATATCTACGCAGTTTAAAGCTGTGTTAATTATGACTCTAGGGAAAAAGCACTATATTTTTTACTTTGAATGGTCAATAATTAATGCTAATCCTAAACACCATCTCTGACACATTACTATATATGGCACTTTTCATTACTATATTATAAGTATTGTTAAGTTGGACTACTTTGTCTAACAAGGCAATCCTGTTCAACCACTATTGTTCATTGTATTAGTAACCCTTTTCTGATTGTTGCAAAGTATTTTTTTCAGACATTTTTCCACCATAGTGAAATAGCTGCCTTTAAAGGAAATACATACTCCTCTCCACATACAGCATATTTAAAGCTTTTAATGAAATCAGATTAATAAAGCATTAAGACATTGGATCAAAAACCATACAGTATCACAATATTCAGCAGCCTATCCTGTCAACTAAAAAAACACTGCAACAGAGTGCTACACTAGTGAAAAAGGCAATGTGTATGAACTAGAAATGGGATTTCTAATTTCCCAAAATGGAACTCTAAATGGCTATCAGGACCCCAGCATATACCAGTTGCTGCAAATCATTATCTGAGCATAGACTTCTTTGTAGCTGTTGCAATAACCCTTAGTCACAATATTTTTAAAGTGTTACCTGCTACTTGTGCCAATTTATCATGAAGTGCATATAAGCTGTTCATCATGAGACTTATTTCATCTTCCTAGAATTAGAAAAACACATTAATGTTAAACCAAACATTATTAGAGATGTATTTTCTTCCATTTACGCAAAAAGTCTTTATATACCATGAGGAAAAAAAAAGGTTTTACATATACAGGTGGAAAGCTGTAGTGTTTCACACATCAACAGCGATGCATGCAATAGATTTTGAATCAAAGTATTCACCATATTGATTTTTCAGATCTTGACTAAAACTAAACTAGATTACAACCTGGACTCTGATGGATCTGCCAGTTAAAACTGACAGCTCAAAAGGTTATTTTAATACTACTGAGAGAACAGTGTAATAACCCAAAAGAAGTTTGGTGGTTTGGTCTTGGTTTTTTCTTTTGATAATTACTATGTAAAAATAAACTAGTTTTATTCTTAATAAATGTGCAGTGACACTTGAAACAAGCCACACTAAAGTACCATCTGGTCATATTCCTGCATAAAATTCATAGCAAAGTAAGATTTTTGCTGTCTACCTTCAAACTACAGTAACTTAATTAGAAAACAAAACAAAAAAAACAACCCAGAAAGCTGTGGACTATACAATCTTGTTGATACTTCCTGCATATGCCACTAGTATAAAAAGGTCTAATGCACAAAACAAGCATGAATATGAGTTGTCATATAATTGTTGCTTATAGGGGAGTTGAACTTATCAAGATATTGAGCAATTTCATTGAAGTATATCCAGAAACATTTTATATTAGAAGGAATTATTCAAAATATGAAGATGAGGAACATGCAATTACATACACTGAGTACTAAAGGCTATTCTAAAATGTTGTGGGTTGTTTTTGTGTTTTTTTTTTTTTTTCCTTAAGTTGGCTCTGATGCCTGGGGCAGCCAAATGGCTGAGATAAGACTAGAGCCTTTATGCAGAAAATATGCAAGGAAAATCATTTTCCAGTTTGTGCATCTGCTGGTTATACTCACATTGGAAAAAGCTAGATGTATTTTACATTTAATTCCCTGATGCACCAGCACTGCCTGACATAATTTTAAAATCTGAATTCTCCAATTTTTTTCCATAAGAAAACCACTACCAGAAAGCATAATACTTCTTTCATTGATCAAACATTTGACAAATTAATTCCCATAGACGATATCAACAGTAACCAGCATCACCTCCCTCTATTTTGGTCCTACAAAACCATCATTGAGATTAAATTGATATAGCTGGTACTCCCCAGGAAGCTAACCAATCTTATTAACTCATTTCCTGGCTGGAAAATACTGGGCATTGCCAAAGAAGAAAATCAGTCTTTACCACCCCACCACCACTACCACCAGCAGTGCCTCAGGTTCCATTTACTTGCCAGTAGGTACACCCATGACTTCACCAATAGCCACATTGAGACAGACACATGAAACGTTTTTGTGACCCAATTCTTTTTCCATAAATGAATGGTCAGACCCGTAAAGGAAGGAACTGAACAGTATAACCCTCATAGCTAACAAACAATCAAGCATGGAGTAGGATTACTATGGAACAGCGCACAAGAAACAGAAAAGAAAGTAACACACAAAACAGGTTCTCAAGCTGTCAAGTCCAGTGCACAAGATGTATTCTCTCTGCACTACTAAAGTAATTCTCAAAAATTCCTCGGAATTTACTGCACAAAATTCAATCTGTTCAAAAGATTCAGAAACGTTTTCTACTCAAGAAACTAGCCAGGGCTACCTACTTAAAATTCTCAATTATTCACTTTTGGAGAGTTCAATCCTAGACCAAAAAAAAAAAAAAAGCCACACCAAACAAAAAAACCCAAAACAAAAAAAAAACCCACACACAATTACTTTGCAATATTTGCTTATATATGCCTAGCAAAAACAGATCAGTATGTTTACAGTCCAGACAGAAAGACTGACAGTGCTTCTCTCTTCTGGTCAAAACACATGCTGTAGAGCTAAGAATAATACAGATACCTTCAACTGTAACATCTCAAAAATGGTTATCCCGATATTCCAGTTGAAAGAGTGAATATAGGAACAAGTAACAGAATAGAATCAAAGTGAAAAAGACAAACTTTAAAATCCATTTTCTGAAGGAGGCTAACCCTTGCTCTTCTATGGCACTAAATGAGATCCTGGAGTTTCATGTCAGTCATCTCTTACCAGCTGTCCTTTCAAGGTTGAGAAGCCAAATGGTAACAGTAAGAGACAAACTGATAAATTTAGTCTCAAAATTTACACCACCTCATTTTTTCCTCATAGCTCTACAACACAAGTTATATGACATTTTCTTAGTATATAAAGCAACCAGCATGCCACAGCCAAATCTTGCAAGCCTAGTTATATTGCCCGAGAAGAAAGTAAAACATTAAAACATTAGCGTTGCAAGAAGTGCGTTCATCTCACACAAAACATTCTGAAACTGCATTGTTCTGAACAGATCTATATTGTTTTTACACAATCATTTGACTGACTCAAATCTCAATATTAAGTGGTTTCACTTACTTCTATTTTTAGTTCTTCACTGAAGGGATTCTTGACTGTCAAAAAAAAAAAAGAGAAAAAATTAATTCATTCTAGAGTCTGAAAATACTAAAAAGGTATACCAACACTGCAGCTTTATGACAATGCTGTAATCTTTAGATAAAAACAAACAAGTCCATAATATGACAAATAACAATTAGAAAGCTATTAACCTTTGACTTCACTCTGCATTTGATAATGCACTATACTAGCATTTAGGTTAAACCAGAATCTTGTACATCGCAACTTTCACAGCTATTTCCATGCAAACAAAACCATGCTTGCCATTTGCCAAACATTTGTTTTAACGACTCAATTGCAATGAAAACATAATTTGAAGGTTTTACACTTTTAGTGTCTAGTTTTAAAAAGTAAAACTACTTTTTTTACTAAGCAATAGCCTATACAACACAAAGCTGTATAACTCATCAGTACTCTCTGTTTTGACAAGAGAAAGAGATGATACACTGAGAGATCAGGTGAAAAGTGCAGTGTGACTAAATGACCATTCCTTTCTTTCTAAATAAAAGACTTTTCACAGCTCCTGAAAGCTTATCTGTTATATTCCTCTTGGCTATGAAAATATATTCTTCAAGGAAGAGAAGTTGAAGTCAGACAAGTAATTTGTGCTATGCTTCCACTTAAGACCGACCAGCTGGTCACTGAAAAGTCACCAAGGCAGGAAGCAATCACCATTAAAGCATATTGTCCCACCTTTCTAAACCACAAACTCTTGTTTCACCCACAGTTTGAGCTTACACAGAAATTAGCAGTTCTACGCGCTATTCAAACAGAAAATTAAGCTTCTACTGATCATAGTTCACCAAGCACAAAAACAAAAGGAAAAAAAAAGTATCCTGGGAAACCTGACACAAAATTGAAGGTCTGGGTTGTAAATGTCATCATATTGATGTTGAAAGCACACCAAGAACAGGGAACACTGAAAAGGGGCACACTGCTTCATAGAGAGTTCTACAAGAAGTAGAGTTCTTCCCAAAGAAAAAAGAGTACTTTCCACTACTTCTAGGCTTGATGCATTTGCATAGAGAATCTAGAAGAAATCTCAGTCTGGAAAGAATTTTGTGCATTTTGAAATCCTGCAGTTCAACTTTCTATACCAAGGCATGCTAAAAGACAACTACCACCTTAAATAGTGTCCAAAACACATAATTCCATTTACATGGTGTAATTACACCCACCCCACCCAGATATTGCAGCTGTTTACACAGCATTTCTGCTTGCATCTGAAGGCACCTCAGCAACAGCCTCTGATAGCGCTAACCAGTTTGACTTCTTATAAGGCACTCCCATGCATAAAGATATTCACAAAACATCAAGAGTTGCTTCCCCAACAGTCAGCTGGTTGACAATATCTTGACTCCTGAACAATAACCATGATTAAGCTGATCAGTTAGTCATAAATGGGAAAAATAAGAGAAATGAGGGTGGACACACTGGATCAAATTCACAGCAAGATTTCTCATTTAGGAGAAATGGAGGACACAAAAGAAACTTATGACCAACTATTAAACCAGGAGTCCCCTAACCTTTGCCAAGTGTAATCGCATCTGGATAAGTAACTAAAAAAAAAGACTGTATAACAAAAAAAAATAATTATTTGTAAAACAATGTCATTTTTATTACCTGCACAAACTTCCATAGCACTGTTGGCAGCAGCCAGATGCTGACCCATTTCACCTTATTTTTGAAAGCCAAATCTGAAGTGGGAATGATTACCATTTCATTCCTCCGACATGCAGCAATGGTAAGGAGCACATTTCTACAATTACAATCAACAAATTATGTATAAAACAGTGGGGCAATAAAATTTTTTTCTGAGCGAAGAAGAAAGCTTGACTCTCTGAAACTTTGCAAATAACAGTTTGACCATGTGCCTGAGCTCAGAAGAGAATTAAGCATGCTACATATCCAAGTGCAATAAGCACTTTGGCTTCCACTGACACAGCAAATGGAAAAAATACAAACCCACCCAAACACAGAAACTGGTTTTCAGACATCTGAATACTTGATTCAGATATCAGATGAATTAAAACTGATAGAAGCAGATGATGCTCAAGCACTCTTGTAAACCAAGCCCTATACCACTTCATGATTCGATGCTATAGGTGCAAAGTCTCAGACATTGCCTACTAGATTATCAAGCTACCAACTTCACGAAGCTTCTACCCATTTCATTCATTAACTTGGCAGAACATTCCCAGTACACTAAACTTTTAATCTAAATAGCCTAAAATAGGATTAGAGAAACACAGCCAAGGCTCTAGATGACTGCCAACCTCCCAGTTCAATCGTTACTTATCCAGACAGGATAATTATGTAATTATGGTCTCTTCCCAAGGTCAATCTTATTAAGCATACATGAAATCTTGATTGGAGGGGGCAGGGAAGTGGGGGGGGCATGAGAGACAACTGTGTAGATTTCAGCATACCTGGCAAACATATTTTAGCACTGATGAAAGCCGTGGAACACACACAAATGCAATACCTTCATGCCTGCAAAGATGCAAACTGAAAACTGTCAGCTGCAATTCTACATATGCTGGGACAGTACCGCAACGAAGTGAAGGCAGTGGTGGTGTTATACTCGGACTTCCCAGCATCACAATCCCAGTGTAAAGTCAATCTCACATGTGAGCAACTTCATATTTCAATAAATTAAAACACTGAATTTATGAAGTGATCCAGATGAGATATTAATGCTTGCCATTCCTTCACAAATACATCGTGGTTAAAGTGACCAAAGAAAAACCCCTCTCCTCCAAAATTATCTATCGCAAAAATTTAACAATCCTTGTAATTCATTATTTTAACTCGCGCTATAGGATTCCCATGAAATCCCTCTGAAGTTAGTGATTTTACAGCAAATTAACCAATAAGTGAGATAACATCTTACATAAAAGGTAATACAGTTTAGGATGCCTGATGCCTTGAGAGGCAAGTATGCTAAATGCAACTGCAGCAATTTACCAGCTGCATATGCAATTAACAACTGTTAATCAATCTGCATCTATTTACCACATAACCTTGATTAACTTGAGTTAACAAGGCCACTCCTTAACTGCTTCAGCAATTCCTCTGTTCTGAATCCACCCTTCTCTCTTTTGTCCTAAGGATCTAAGCTCTTACTAAATCCTCCCACATGCTCCAGCCAGACATAAAGTTTTCATCTACTCCAACATGTCTAAGGTATTTCAATATATTGCATCAACATTATCAGTTCAAAAGGTTTCTTGACAGTTCTAAAGATATGTAAGTATAGTTTTAAGAGTAACAAGTTCTTGTTCTACCAAACTAAGCATTAATTTAATAACTAATTACTAATAGAAGTTATGTGACCATATCATACTTCCAAGGCTTCTCCCCAAAAAGGGTACAAGACCTCTGCCATACAGCAACAATTACCAGCCTTGAAAGTAGTCTATCTATCAAGCTCACGTTTTTATGAGCCTCAAAGAACAAATTCTCATCTACTATATACTACAAAGCTAAAAACTAGAGAGATAATTTCCTAAAACAGGAACCTCCTGACTGTTGTCCCAGGGGGTCTTCTCTCCAGGTTAGCCAACCAACTGACAATCACATCCACTGCCCTCAAAAAAGGAGGGATGCAACAAACCGCCTGGACATGGCACTCTCATCATCCATTAGAACTCCCCAGAGAGCAGCAAAACCATGAGAAGCATGGCAGTTTCACCCAGCCACATATGAATACTAGCTGCAGAATAAAAAAAAGCAGGAATATTTTCATGGAAGAAAAACCTCAAAAACTTGACAAAGGGAACCATACCAACTCCCCCAAAACACTGCAATAGTTATACACTCTGCCTGAAAGTCTGACACACTGGGAGAAGGGCTTCATTCCTGGCAAGGTGTAATGACAATAGGATTCTTTGGCCAGACACAGGACACAAAAAGTAAACACACTAAGGGACATCATCTTCACATGAAACTTGACTTCAGAACAGGAAAGGATATGCTATTTAAATTCCATTTTTAAGAAGTGATTTTACTTAAATGCTAGTTAATCAAGAACAAGACAGTAAGATTACTGAAAAACCTACGGAAAGAAATCAAAGCAGCATACAAATATTCTTCTGGTTAACTGAAGACTACTAATGACCCTCAGAAGTAACTAATTTACACAGATTACTGTTGGGACAAGCTGTAAATGATGACTTACAGACTACTAGAATTCCTCAGAATGGCAGAACTGGTCAGTCTCAAATAACAAAAAGTCACCAATACAAAGCTAAGGGTCACAGCACAGCTCCAAAGCATTCCAGCCAAAGCTGTCAACACAAATGCACATACCAAGCCATCTCACAGAGATGCTCAATTTTAGGAATACAAGTGCAGTCAGTGTCAACATACAAGGTTAATTTTCGTTAGAATACAGCAGCCTTCATCTTTAAAGTAAGAATAAAACCACTCGCCACCACTCCTTTTCCTCCCTAATACATTGGCCACAATTGCAGACAGACACAGTATTTACAACAGTTTAGTCTTCTTCAGTTAGACAAACAGGGAGCACAAAATGGGATTTCTCCTCTTTTTGAAAGCATGGTTTAACAAACATGGAGTTGCAGCCTAACTGCAGACGTTCATGAACACACAAGTGAGCTTTTGTAGAGTGCTAACGGCACGAGTTCCAAAGACTGACAGTTTCACAGGCAGTCATACGTAGAAAGAAGACATGCACAAGTAAGAATACCTTTGCTTAGGACATAAGTTAAAACCGTATCACTAACACAGTACCAAAATAAGGGATTCAGTTCCTTCTGGTCACCAAATTAGGATGCCAAACAGCTAATCCTTCCACTACAGCTATCTCCTGGATGCTGTGGTACCTTGCCCTGAACAGTGTTTCCATTCTTGCAGTTTCAGTATTCAGGACTTTGAAGAGGTAACACCAAAACTGAAGTATGAAGGAACAGTCACACCGGGACAAACCAAGGATTCAGCTAGCCCAGAATCCTGCCTCCAGCAGCAGCAAGAA